GTACATCAGATGCGGGACCAGAAGAATTCTGGCAACAGGGGTACCAAACAGGGATGCTTGGGTGCAATCACCGAACTAAATCATGATCTGCATAAACTATCTCAGCAGCTGAATCATCTCAGTGCGGTTACTGGCGATGAAGGAATCGCGGAATCCTACAATAACGTTCAATGCCTCATCAGAAACGTGGGGAAGATGAGGGATCTTCGCCAAAAGTGCCCGGCCAGCGGCAGCAGAACATGACTGCTTTTCTGAGACATCGTAGCCCAAATGCATTGGCTTCAGCTGCAAATATTTATTCTTCAATTGTTCCTTCATTAAATGCAATAAAAAAATAGATGCAGCATTCGTGCACAGCACAGAACCTGCAAATGATCGCTTGGAACTCACTGGGCAATCGGTAACAGCAAGGTGAATTCAGAATCGACAAGAGTCTAGTTAGCGTGCATTACCATATTTCATTTGGAGCGTAAAGTGATTCAAACTAAACAGTCACATTCATATATGGAAACAACGGGTGGGAGGAGAGGGGATGAGTCTTTCGAGGGGGAAGATGGCGGCGGCGCTGGATCCGCCTATGGATGCAGCTTCCCCAGCGGCACAGGCACAAGTAGTGCAAAAATCCAGGCCCGAAGCTAAAAATCCAAAGTAAACTCTCTTCCTCACCTGCCGCCGCCACTTCCTTCCCTTCTCAAAAGCCGCGCTTTCCCCCTCCTCCCGCCCCGCCCCCACTCGTCGGCTCGCCAAGAGTCCGTCCTGGATCTGCCCATGGTCACATCTCATGCACATCCCGCTTCCCGGAGTCTTTTCACGAACTCCATTTTACGCTGGCTTCAATAATTAGCTGCTCAGACATATGAATTGTTGTACTGCGGTTCAAAATTTAGATAGTTTTATTAAGTGCAGCACCAGTGGCCTGGGCAATGTGTCAATGAACATAGACCACATCAAAAACCTTCTTCATCTGCGCCGGCCCGGTTCCCTCAAAGAACTTACGATCTGCGTCACTGCTATAACTATCCATAACGCTGTACACCAGCGAAATTCGGTCATGGTGGCTGCTCCGCGGCATCTTCTCAAGCAGATCCACCTTCACCTGCAAAACATCTTCCATGAGTGACGCAGAAGCTGGCCTCGCCCAAAAAGTTCACCCCAACGGACGAAGTTACTCCTCGAGCCACTGCTTCCAATAAGCGTTAAATGAGTTAACTGAGTACGCGCATTCAAAGTACTTCCAAATCTAGAAGTATCAGTGCTGGTTTTTCGTAGCAACAAATTCTGCTGTCCTCAAAACTTCAGTGTCAACTATATCCACTGTCTGTAAGAGACAGAGATTCAAAATTTTTCCGAGGGGAGCAAACACTCGCTGGCAAATCTGTCGATGACCTCCTTTTTGAGAGTTTCTGAGGCTTGCAATTTCATAAAGTGCCGAAATTTAGAAGTAAAAAATTGGCCAACGCACGGGCTGCCCGTGCGAAGATGCGTTTTTTGCACGGTTCCCCGCAGTTATTGTTGCTACCGGCACCGGTTTTTTCGGCAAAT